ATTAATAAGACATTAAACTGTTGACCTATAGTGAAAAACAAATTTGGATTTTTAGCAATTTTTTGAGCTCCCATATTTTATAGCTCATTTACTCAATACTGGACTGTGCGACAACTTTACCATTTCGCCACAACATGCCTCATATATGTATATATACATATATAATAATAATAATAATAATAATAATAATAATAAAATTATTTTAAAAATCATAAGATTAACCTGTTGTTATTTTGATAAATTTCTGATTGTTGATTTGATTGCACAACGATTTTCCCTCATTTTTAAGCATCTTTTCTTTTAATTTCCATCTGGCTTTTGCTTTGAAAGGAAGGAACGAAATTGTTTGCCTTCTGAGACTGTTGAAATGTGCCAAATGATTATGTAGAAAGAAGTGAAAGGCTTGGATGGAACAAAACGTCGTCACTATGAATTCCATAATATTTCTCATATACTACTCATATACTACTACTACTGCTACTGCAGCAACAGCAGCAGAAGCAACAGCAACAGTAACAGCAGCAACAACAACAACCACCACAACCCAGAATATAGGGAACGAATATCAAGTATAGACTTTAGAAACAATTTATTGGAAAAAACCAATATTTTATTATTACATATTATTGTCATATGCTCGTCATAGTTCGATTTTACTTTGATTTTTTTTTTGTTATTACTTTTGATTACTCATACCTATACGTGCGATACAGGCCTAGACCTAATTATCATTTATTTATTTTATTTTATTCATTATCATATTCGTGTATTTATGTAAATAATAAATAAATAATGTGAATAATAAATAAAAATATGAAATTGTGAGTTAGTAATTAACACGCATAATAAAGTGTGCGAGAAATGACTGGTCTTCTTTATTGGGTACTAATATATACCTTATGTGGAGAAAAACAAACAATAATGTGTGTGTCAGTTTAAGACTTGGTTATGCACTTGTAATTGTGCATTTCAGTCTCAACACCCCCGGACCTAGCGTGGACTTAGCCGGGGATGTAATTTACAAAACAGTTACATGCATGTGTTTTCGGCACCTTTCGGCAATGCGGAGAATGTTTTTAACATACATACCGGCTACGTCCCCACTACTTTCCGCCATGAAATGTTCTTAGTCCTGGTAAAATAAATGCCATAGTAATAAATTAATGGATGATGAGGCTTAGAAAATTACACAGAGCGAGGAAAAAGCGCAGACACCCATGTGCTCTGCAAATGACGCTTTGTGAAAAGGGCGAAAAAGGAATGCATTAATTGATCGTTGAAAAAAAAATTGATTGAATGATTTAATTAATAGATATTTAGTATAAATTCAGAAATACTGTAAATTAAGAAAATTAATAGTAGAAACAAATACGTCTGTACCAGATGCATCTAGATCAATACTAATGATTGGTTGCTTTATGGTTTGAAATCGACGATTGACTAATAATAATCAGTGCATACCCATTTGGCCTAAAAGTAATGTTATGCTTTAACATTTTTTTTTAAATTCTGATGTACTGTTTTTTTTTTTATTATGATGTCGGCATACTGTGGACGCGTTCAAAACAAGATTTCTGGAACATCGATTAAGAAAGGGTTCTACTTCGTCGGAAGTCTCAAAAACATATTAACACTGTTTACAATTTCCGGGTCACAGCGTCAAATTTGATAAGGCTAAAGTCCAACTGTGGACAAGATTTGAGAGAGGGGTCAAGGAAGCAATCTACATCAGATCCAACACACCAAAGTTGAATGGAGATGGTGGAAGATAATAATCTTCCAAACATATGGAACAACACCTTGAAGGCAGGAATGGAGGACCAGGACCAGGCCCCCCTGCCTCACCACTGACGTCACAATCCCTATGACGCAATTTTCCAACGTGTGTCATTGTGAACAAGTCTATAATTATAGTCGAAAGCTTAAAACGTACCTTTGTTTTCTGCTTTATCCAGAGATATAACATTTTAATTCATATTTATGAATTAATCTGGATAAATGAATCTGCATCAGTCGAAAAATAATAAAGATGATAATAATAATAATAATAATAATAATAATAAAAAATAAAAAAAAAAATAAAAATAATAATAATAATAAAAATGATAAAAAATAATAATAATAATAATAATAATAATAATAATAATAATAATAATAATAATAATAATAATAATAATAACGTTTTAGAAAAAGAATGGGAACCGAATTGCATATAAAAACTAGTATAAAAGCAAGACATTCCTTCCTACAATCGAACAAAATCTGGAACTCACAAATACATAGTCGGATTGGATTGGATTGGATTGGATTTATTCGGTGTAAACACCAAGGATAGCCCACGAAAGTCTAGAAGAAGACTTATTTCCAGTGGGGTCCTTCTGGTGGTGATTGGACAGAACACCGGGAGACAATCCCCTACTCTTTTCCGAAGAGTGTACATGGGCCATAATGCACACGGGATTAACGGCTTAAACGCAAACACAAAGCTAAAACACAAGGAGAGGCAGTGATGGGAATTGAACCGGGGACCTCTAGGGCCCGTTTATACAACACACCAATACACGGATTATTAGCGATGCGTGTTGTATAAACGCAATAATGATTCCGTGTGATTGCAAACATCTGGAAAAAAGGCTACTTAAAATAATCCCCAAATTTGGTGAATTGGGATTCCTACTTGTGCCTGCAGGCAACATCAAGTGGTAATTAATCACTGATTAAGTCGAGGTCACCAAAAGGAATACAGGTTTACCATGGAAAAACTTTTCTGCATAGTTAATTTAAGAAATATATTATGCAGGATATCATCAATTAAGATGTTCAAGTTAAATCTAAGAGAATAATCTTGAAATTTTGTCAGGATTATAATTTTCGTTTGTAAATTGTAGCTCTACTACTGTAAACAAAAGGCAAATTAAGGTAGAGTTTTAATTTCAACTGTTCTAGTGGGAGACCGCTGTATAGGGATAGGCCTACTGTGTGTTTACAAAACAATGGGCTGAACGGAAAGTACGTTTAAAGTGTGCACTTGGGGATAAAAGCTAATTGTTGCTTTGAGACCACAAACTACACAACGCAATGCTATTTGCTGTAACACAGATTCAAAATTACAAGTACTGTATAAATGAGTGTCTTTGGTGGAACGGCCTCCAGCAGTAATTAGTGTTCAATGACACAACACCGTGTTCAATCCAACAGTGTAGTATAAACACAACAAGTCGCAAAATAAAGGTAAGTCGCAAAAGAAAGGTCAAAATATAGGTCAACAAGAGAAAATGAACATGGATTGGCTACGTAATGCGCATGGACAAGAACAGTGACCAAGAATATTGCACTTACATGGAAACCAGAAGGAAAAAGAAGTCAAGGCAAACCAATAGTTGGAGAAGGTCGGTTGTGTCCTCCGTGGCACGAGGACGATGTAAGTAAAGAAAATTTAATTTGTATACATTAAATAACAGGCCTTTTATATATGTGGATATTTTATAAAACATATTAGGAAATACTAGTTTGAAATAGTGCGAAATATACGTGTAATAACTACAAAGTATTTTAACAATATTAATAATAATAATAATAATATTAATAATATGCAGAAATTTATAACGCGCCAATTCATATTGTTTCAAATAGTCAAGCAAGATTATTTACATATTATTATCTTGAAAAATAGAACCAGAGGCTTTATA